TCGCTGCTAGGTTGGAGGCCATCGCTTGTAGGTTGGAGGCCATCGCTTGTAGGTTGGAGGCCATCGCTGCTAGGTTGGAGGCCATCGCTGCTAGGTTGGAGGCCGTCGCTGCTAGGTTGGAGGCAACATTAGAAAGAAAAGAAGCAACCGTTGTAACAAATTGCCCTTTGAAGCCTCTTCACTACTTTCAACGAAAACATCTTGCAACACTGTCCTTTCCAGTCCCTTCACCGCTTAAAAACCAACAGAGCGATGTTTTTTTATCGTCTATCTTTCGTAGTCTCTGGACATAGCATTTCGTTTTTGTGCCCCTTTGCAGTCGCGGAAGCTGCCGAAGCTCTGTGGAAGCCCTTTTTGTGCGCAAGGGTGCGCAAGCGTGTATGTTTAGTCATATATGATATTGTGAATCCTACGTGGAACCCTGTCCTTCTGGAGTCCTAGACTGTCCTCAGTCACCCCTGTCCCTAGACACCGAACCCCTGGTTTCTCCTCGGTGTAAATGCCTCTGCCCACCCACCACTGCATTGAGACGGCGAGTCATCGAACGGTCATCAACCATCAATGGACAAATCACATACATTAAAAATCTCTATGTTTTCTTCTCCTGTCCGTCTTTCTTAACCCATAGGAGCTTGTTCCTTCGGTCTGCCCTCTCCTTCAAGGTAGACTCTTCGTCGTAAAGACTGTAGCGACCCTCCTTTAGGCACAGGCGAAGTAGTGACCCGTCCATTGATTTAGTTAAAGAGTCAGCAAGTTGAGCTCTTGAGCTCACCCAGCGGATGCGGCAGCTTTCCTTGAGGCGTTCCCTAATCAACAAACACTCAAGGCACGTTCTGTATTCCTCACATGAGGGAACTGAAGTCCGTGTTGCAATGTCATAGACTGACTTGCAGTCTGTGGCCACTGCCGCTGGATGATCTTCGCTCAGAATGCGGCTGGGATCTGTTAAGTCAATTGAGGGGTCAACCAGCCATTTCCAAAACAAGCGGAGCCAAGACAATCTGTCAAGGCATGAGCTCAATGCGACGGCTTCTGCACTGAGGGTTGACCTCACTACCCGAGCTATCTTCCGTGAAGACCAAGCCATAGGGCATACCACACTAGGTTGGTTGTCAAGAATCCTCTTATCGGTTGCAAATATTATCTGGCCTTGTCTGGATGACAGCTCACGGCATGTAGCGAATGAGGCATCCGAGAATGCACAAAATGTGAGAGTGTTCAATGGCAATGGAACAATGTGCAAGCATACTGGGTGTGTCTTTGCTTCATGGAGGACGCGGTTCAAAGTGAGCATATCTTCCACCTTTGCTCTAGTCACCTTTGACTGAATTTCTCCTATCTTGGCGGCCAGATCTGGCCGGGTGTTCACCGCTGAGTATTGTAGAGACCCTACCAGTTGCCTGATCTCCTGCCTTTCACTCTCAGTCACCGGATCTTGGAGTTCGGCTCTTCTTGTCTTGGGGATTTGAATAGGGGAAATCTTCTCAATGTAATCCCTCTGATCAATCTCAATGGAACCATCATCCCACTGAAAATATTGAACCCCACAAAAGACGAAACTCTTCTCCCGGTAGGCACCAAAACTAAATTTTTCTTGGAGACTTGTCAGGACCGTGTGGAAGTATTCATCACCTCCACCTATCCCATCATCCACATGAATCCCGAGCACCCCACGAACCTGAGGTCTTTGGTCTGGTCCTTCGGTAACCAATGAAAACACACAATTGTCAAAAGGACAACAAACAAATCCTAAACTCTCAAGGGTCTTCTTGAACGAGGTGTACCATAAATACGGACCATCCACCCGACCGTAAGCTCCGCCCTGAAGGAGGCATTGATCATCTCCTTTCATCTTAAGGGCTTGCGCCATCTCTGGAGGTGCTTCTAAACCAAGACGTCGGCCATCCCCTTCCCCTTTGAGAAAGGCGGTAGACACGTCAAAGTTGATCAGCTTCCACTTACTGCTACTTACTGTTTGGAGCAAGAGCATCCTTCCATCCTTACTCAAAGTGGGGGCGTCATTGGGAACATACGACAACCCTGGGTCAGTAAATCCCAAAACGACTAAACGCGCTTTCGCCCGTCTCTCTCCACCTGGGGTCTCGGGGGCTTCCAAACAAGGATCCACCTGCACCTCATAATTTCCTCTGGCTGGAGAGTTCCAGCCGTCACCCGCTTGACCGTGCCGTGGTCTAACCATGCCTTGAGCTCTTTGTTCTTGGCAGCAGAAAACTTAGCTCGGTCCTCTGCACTCAGGTCCCCCCACCTAACCTCTATCCTCTCTTTCTTGGGACTTGTGGTCAACAAGATCTCATACGCCTGCACGCATGAACAACACTCTTCAGGGGTGAGGGTAGCCCAGGGACCGTCTTTGAACGCGATCTCAAAGCATGATTCTGTGGACCAGGTCTGGTCATCTCCAAATGCAAATAGCTCATCATCACTTGGAACGGGAACATCAGTTCCGTCGACTTGCATATCATCGCCGTCCCAATTTGGCACTTCGGGCGCCGATCCTTCATTTGGAGAACTCGGAGGTGCCATTTCACTTTCTGGCTGGGAGTTGGGAGGGATTTCAACATCAATCATATCGCTGGGACCTTCACTTGGTTCATACTCTTCATCAGGGATCCCTTCGAGTGAAATGAAATCCCTTGGACCCTTCCCTTCTGCCAATACTTCGGGTTTCACTCCTCCAGATGAATCTTTGGGAAGGAGGTGGTATTCTCGGAGAGAGGCTGGTCTAACCTGCTCAGGACTCGCCCTTACTAACCCTCCCCCATGACTCAACCACAACACCCTACTCCCTTCAACCGCTATCACCTGTGAGGGGCCATACCACCTACCTTTCTCTCTCCGGGAACTTTGTTGGGTCCTCTTCCAGTAGAGTACCCAATCCCCCTTTTCATACATGTCACGACTAGGGCGTGTTCTTCGAAGCAACGCACGACGAAAGCTGGAATCGTTGTCTGCAGAAATGAAACTCCGTCGAGCCTGCTCCCTTCTCCACAAACTTTCCCTAAACTTGATTCCTTCCGGAGTTCCACTCTCTGCCAAAACATGGCTACCTGCAAGATCGTCGGAAACAAGGGAGCCAGGTAGAGTTCGAGCCTTACCCAACAAGGCTTGTTCAGGTGTGAAACCATTGACTCTGCTCAAAGAGTTCTTCGCAGCAAATGCATGTCTCAAACAGGCCCGAAACTCATCCTCGTTTTGGATGGGTTGCTCATTGTCCATCCTGGTCAACATTCCCTTTATGATGGCTCCATGTCTTTCCGTCCGACCTAACTGCCATGGTGAACCGCCAGCAGTCATTGCCAATTGGATCCCTTCCTTTTGAAGGAAATCCCGCCACTTGTCTGTGACATATTCCCCGGCTGGGTCCACATACAGGGTTTTACATGGTCCTGCCCATTGCAACCAGGTGTCCTCAAATGCCCGGATCTGGTCTTCGGTGGTTCTACTGCATGGAGTCCCCAAATGAAACAGCGTACCCTCATCAAGGAAATGAACAAAATAGTAGCTCTTCCCCATCTTACCACTCCAATATACCCCATCACATCCTACCTCATCGTTGAAGTCCAAGTCTCGGTGTATGGTTCCGGGTTTGCTGGACATGGGGGCTCCTACCGTTTCCGCACACGTCGCGCATTGGAACTCAGCTGCTCCATCCAAAATGTCTTGTGGTGAACCTCTCTCCCTCAGGAACTTTACAAACAGATCAGTTGAGGGGTGTCCCAAATTCTGATGGAGTCTGCTGATGTCCTGGCGCTTCTCGGATGACAAGCGGTTGTAGGCGGGGCCTGACACCGCAATTGGTCTGGGAGCCCATCCGGTGGTATCCTGACTTGCCAATTCTTTTCCTTCCTCAACCTCTTGGGACTCCTTCTGGACGGGTACCATCTCAACATCTCGGTCCTTCCCCCGTGGTTTCCCAAAAATGGTGATCGCAAGTCTGGAGGGTCCACATGCTCGGATGCGCTTCAGCTTACTCAGTTTGAGCCATTCCTCCGGGGGACCCGTATCCACACACTCCCCAGTCTGTCTGTGAACATAAATTGTCTTCCTGAGGGGTATGGATTCCGTGTCGCTCTCGTTCGGTGGAATGCGATATCGATCAGTTCCACGACATGAGATGACTAACCGGACATCCATCTCTGGGACCTTCGACCCACTTCTTTCACTCACATCCCTCCCAACAATATGAACACCAACTCTAGGAGTTTCTGATGACACGCTTTTCATTAGGTCGTCCCATGATGTGTCCTGGTGATCGTCAAATGCAGGTGGTCTTACTTGTTTAAAATCGCATCGCCGCCGCTTCAGCCGCAAAGACTCGAGAGCAATTCCTCGAGAATCAGCAGATCGTTTTTGCCCTTCGGAAGCCTCAAAACCTGCCAACAACTCTTCAACAACAAGGGGGTCCTCACCACTCTCTCTACTCCTACTAACCACCCTCACCACGTGTTGTGCAAAAGTTGTGGTGTATCGCGCGGCAAATGCTGAGATGTTCTGTCTGTTTTCCTGGTATGTGTAGCTTCCTTCAATGGTCTGGTGTTCATGCTGTTGTTGGCACCATTTGCCATGGAGCATCTGGTGCATCAACCTGGATGTCGTCTGTACGTTGGAGCGCTTCCGAAGGTACTTGTCCGTTCCCGGAACTCGCAGTTTGCCAACGGTGCACTGGTCGAAGGAGGCTGTCAAAGTTCCCGACATGATGTCATATACTTCTGGTTGTTTCAACATGTCTGAACCTTGAGGTTGCTCCAAATGAAAGTGTCGTCCATGTGAAACTTGATGCCAATAGATGTCATTACATAACTTCAGGTACCTTCGTTCAA